GGCAGGGAAAGGTGAGACAAGCTGGGCCTCACCTGCCTGTGGGTCCTTTTCTGTTTTGCCCCTCTGTTTTCCCCCCTCCCTCCCCTGGTAACGAGGATAGATTGAAGAACACAGACACCAACTTAAAGAATAAGTGTATGAGTTTACTTTAGTGCAAGACAGTAAAGAATTCCAAAAGAAGCAGTGGCTTATGAAAGGATACACTTAGCAATGCATCTAATCATTACTACAGAGAAAGTCTTGTAGTGATTGAGAGAGAGATACATCACCAGTTCTCTTAAGTCTTGGTGCGACGGAGAAATGTCCGCGATGTCCCTCACACTCGCGTGATGCCCAGTGCAGAATGCCCAACAGACCATTGACTTGTGCGCTGCAAACTTAACTTCAGTCTTAAGTTCAAACCAAAAAGGGGCAGTATCCCAAGGAGGAGACTCCAAGTTAACAAGCTCCAATCAGCCACAGTAACGGAAAGATTCCAGGCAAACCTTCCAACTAGGCTCGAAAACCATTCCATAGATTCTACAGATTCCTCTCCTGAAACAATTTGGCACCATATTAAAAACAGCATCCTGCAGTCCTCTGAAGAAACCTTAGGGTTCTCCTTCAAGAAGAACAAGGACTCGTTTGATGAAAACAATCAAGAGATCCAGGAATTGTTGAGGAAGAAGAGAACTGCCCACCAAGCACATCTTGCTCAGCCTTCCTGTCACATAAGAAAAACAACCTTTCGTCTCGCATGCAGCAAACTCCAACAGCAACTCCGTGACATCCAGAACAAGTGGTGGACCGATCCAGCTGAGAAAACTCAATTATGCGCAGATACAGGGGATCACAGAGGATTCTATGAGGCCTTGAAAACAGCATACGGACCTACATACCAGGTCCAAAGCCCCCTGCTCAGTGCAGATGGTCAAACGCTTCTGACAGATAAAACCTCCATTCTGAATCGTTGGTCTGACCATTTTCAGGCTCTTTTCAGTACCAACCGTGCAGTTCAAGACTCAGCAATTCAGTCCATCACACAACAACCGGTGAAATACGAATTGGATACTGCCCCCACTTTAGGAGAAACCCTCAAGGCCATACAGCAGGTGAAAATCGGCAAGGCAGCTGGGGTTGATGGAATTCCACCTGAAATCTGGAAACATGGGGGCCTTGCTCTCCATGCTAAATTTCATGAGTTTGTGGTGTGCTGTTGGGAACTAGGCCAACTACCATCAGACCTTCGTGATGCAGTCATCATCACCTTGTATAAGAAAAAAGGAGTTAAATCAGACTGTTCAAATTACTGTGGTATTACTCTGCTCTCCATTGCTGGCAAAATCCTGGCAAGAATACTTTTGAACAGATTAATATCTGCTAGAGCAGAAGGAATTCTACCTGAAAGCCAATGTGGTTTCAGAGCCAACAGGAGCACCACAGACGTGGTATTTGTTCTCAGACAACTGCAAGAGAAGTGTAGGGAACAGAACAAAGGTCTCTATGTAACCTTTGTTGATCTCACCAAGGCTTTCGATACTGTGAGCAGAAAAGGTCTGTGGCAGATTTTGGAACGTTTAGGTTGTTCCCCCAAATTCCTTAAAATGATCATCTCACTCCATGAGGATCAGCACGGCCAAGTCAGATGTGGTGATGCACTTTCTGAGCCCTTTCTAATCTCCAATGGTGTGAAACAAGGCTGCATTCTTGCACCAACCCTATTCACAGTCTTTTTCAGCAGGATGCTCCAAAGGGCCACGGCAGACCTCGATGATCAGGACGGTATCTATATTCGATACTGTACTGATGGAAGCCTTTTCAACCTAAGGCAACTGAAGGCCCACACCAAGACCTTAAACCATCTTGTCCGGGAGCTGCTTTACGCTGATGATGCTGCCCTTATCGCTCACACAGAAGCAGCTTTTCAGCGTTTAACATCCTGCTTTGCTGAGGCTGCTGAGCTCTTTGGGCTGGAAGTCAGCTTGAAGAAGACAGAAGTTCTCTATCAACCTGCACCTCAGGAAGTCTTCCATCATCCCCATATCACCATTGGAGAATCAGAGCTCAAATCAGTCCAGCAGTTTAATTACCTGGGCAGCCTCATCTCCTCGGACGGTGAGATTGATGGAGAGATAGACAACAGGTTAGCAAAGGCATAGAGAGCTTTTGGAAAACTCCATTTAAGAGTCTGGCGTAATAAACACTTGAAGAAAAGTACCAAGATCAATGTTTACAGAGCCATTGTGCTGTCTACTCTCTTACATGGTTCCAAATCATGGGTCATCTACCGCCACCACCTGCGACTCCCAGAACGCTTCCATCAACGCTGCCTCCGTACAATCCTAAACATCCACTGGTCAGATTATGTGACCAATACATCTGTTCTAGAACAGGCAGCAGTCACAAGTATTGAGGCCATGTTGCTGAGAACACAGCTGTGTTGGGCAGGGCACGTCTCCAGGATGAAGGATCACTGCCTCCCCAAGATCGTGTTCTATGGTGAACTTGCCACCGGTTGCCGCAAGAGAGGAGCCCCGAAGGGGAGATACAAGGACTCCCTGAAACAACAACTCAGCCTCGGCCATATTGATCATCATAACTGGTCTACTCTGGCCTCAAATCGGGAGGCCTGGAGACACTCCATCTATAATGCTGCCGCTTCCTTTGAGAACGCACGCAGGATCACTCTCGAGGAGAAAAGACAGCGCAGAAAGAACCGTGTCTTGCAGAATATACCACCTAAGGAGTCTTTCTGCTGTGCCTTTTGCAATCTATCTATTGCAATATATCTATTTTGCAATGTCTATCTCGCATTGGCCTTATTAGCCACCAGCGTGTTTGTAACAAATGTGGATAAAGCCTTTCCCAAATCTTCGTTCGCGAAGCCCGGCCATGGTGGTCTGGGTACATCACCAGTTCCCCTAAGTAATCGTCATCATCCAGGCCGCCCTTCAGCTGGGGAGCCCCGTGGCAGCAAAGGCCTGGAGAAGCCTTTCCCGGTAACTGGGAAATCCTGTGCAGTGAGTCCACTCGTAGGTGGGGCCTCCATCCTCTCCATGAGAGGGTCCAGCTTATACAGTGTTAAACAAACCAGCTGACGTCACTCGATTGGGGCAGAAAAACAATCTGCCTTTCTACCTCCATTGGTGTTCCCCTTCAGCCTGGCCAGGGCCCAGAGGGAGACCAAGGGAGTAGATTTGGAGCATTTACTATTAAATGCTTCATGGCCTTGACTGGTCACTAAATACAGAACTTATCACTACATTGAAATCAAATAGGAACCAGCTGCAACCATGTGAGGCCCTACTATTTTTCCTGACCTTGGCTGGAAAGAAAAGGCATATTTATAACACATACAGGCCTTACTAATTATTGATAACATGCTGAGCTAACAAGCATAAATGTGTGTTCTTTAGGCAGTGCTAAGCCTTATGTAGCATCTTGGATAATAAGCAGATATAGGGCGAAATACAATACTTGGTAGGAGAGCTCATCTTTTAGGTTAACTTTGGCTCAGGGCCGGATCTTCAGGCCCCAGCATTGCAGGTTCTTGCAGCAGCTGCAGGAGCAAAACTCTGGCAGTGAGCAGCCCAGAACAGTCCAGGGAAACCCCTTGACTTCCTGATGGCTCAGGCCATTGTGGCCTTAGAATGAAGCCTGTGGCCCCCTTTTCAAAGCTGAAGCCATATTCAATTGAGCTACAGAAAGCACCAATGAGAGGTTGAAAAGGGAGGACAATGTGCTCTGAGTTTCTTGTTCCCTCCCTGCTAAAGGACAGAGGGCAAAGGGAAAACCATTTCCAGATGATTTTACCTCCATCACCAAATTGAATTCCTGTGAGCTGAGGATTTCTGAGGGGGAGTGAGGAAGGAAAATATACACCCAGAGGAGAACCCTGAGAAGAGACCCTCTGGCAGGGAGCTTAAATCAGAGCCTTTGGGCATCCTTGAGTCAGAGAGCTGGTCTGCCTCTCAAGGAGGAAACATCAGTGTTATGGTTCCAAAGCCAGGGCGTGGAGCTTTGTGATGAATATTCACCCCATCCCCTCATCCTGTGGGGCAAGTTTTTGATAACCTGTTTGCTACGGTTTGTTTTAATTTTTTCTCTTCCCCTGCGTGGTCCAGAGGGCAGAGAAGCCTCCTGCCATTTTGTCTTTGTCTGGGGAAAACCATGTGGCAGCTGCCATTTGGGGCTTTTCTGTCCTGGGTTGGGGGGACTAGGAAACGATTTCCACCTTTTTGGTCTAAACCATTTTCCCTTGTTTCTTTGGAGTTTCTGCTATTTACTTTTTAAATTGTTATTTTTGTACTTTTATCTCTTCATTATATGGAAAGGACCTAGTATAATATGCCCCTTCACTGTTGGAGGGGGTAGGGAGAGGTTGAAACAAAGGGGAGTGACTTGTTGAGAATCTCAGTCCACCAGTAACTGTGCAAAGCCATCACAGTCAGTGACCCAGGATCATTGTTCTTTCTTCACAGACAGGAACATGAAGAAAATGGCGAAGGCCCAGGAATCCAAGATGGACAAGGAATTCCAGAAGCTCCGCCAAAGAATTCAAACTCTGGAACAAGAATTACAC